TAAGGAAGTGGGAACTGAAAGTTGAGGTTAAGTGTAACTTCAGAATAATTCTGTCAGGATTTAAACTGATGGATGACAACCCCAAGAACAAAGACAGGTACGGGATTGGACACAGATGGAAAAAAAGATGCTGCAAGAGAAAACAGCTAGTGCAGCTAGCGTGTTATTAAGAGTCAGAGCCAAGTAATGGACAGATACCAGTCCAGGAGCCAGGACAGCCTTACTTTCTCATTAAATAGCTATGCGATATGAAACAAATTTTCTGCCAACCTTTTTTTCTCCACCTACCTATTGTGTTATCTGGACACCTGCACACCTGCAATCTGGATGGACAAGGCCAATTCCCTTGTGCAGGACCTAGCGCAATAAAGCTTCTGTCTTAGTTGGGTCTTTAAAGTAGAAGTAATGCTGCAACTGTTTTGCAGCTAATTAATTTAAACTAAAGCTAGGATGCTGAAAACCCATAAAGATCAGATGCTTTCAGAATTGCTTCTCTTAAACCATGAAACTGGAAAAGATTTATTGCCAATAGGAGAAATTCAAAAGTAGAAAAAAGAAATTAAAAAATGCATGTATTTCATTATTTCTTTTTATAATGCTTATACAAAGAAAGAAAAACAGTTGCTGAAACTCCTCATTTTAATGATAGAATTAAAAGGAATAACATACCTGACACTAAAACCAGCAATTAAAAGATAAGAAACTTAGCATAAAGAGGCCAAAGAAACAAAAGTGTCCTAGAAGCACTATTTGCCTCAAGGACAGTGATCATGCAGCTTTGGCGGGAGTGTCCTCCAGTGAATTACCTTCACACACAGTACTTGAAGACTGTAGGAGTCACAATGTCATATAATGTCACTGTTTCTAAAAAACAGTTTGAGGGATTTCAGGAAGTTCTAGCTTGGATAAGGTATGTACTAAGTCTGGAATCGCTGTTTGCATAAATGCTGTCAAAGCCAACTGAATTGCTTGCTTCTGCCAGCTCTGAATTTGTGGCCAAATTCTGAAAGCATCTGAGGACACAAACTCTTAAGTAGGCTTTACAAAAGCTCATCATCAATTAGATGTCTATATCTCTTTGAAAGATGGCCTGCATATACACGTGTGGTCATCTACTGCATTTTTAGGTGCTTGAATGTATAGCTCAAATAATTATAATTAAATGTCAGACTGCAAGAGTTAATACTGCTCAGCACCTCTAAAACCTATTCCCTCTAACCCCACTCTTCTGAGAGGTTTCTCAGTACAGCTGCTTCTACCAGTTTGAGATCCCCTTCAAAAACTAAAGCATCGTTTCTACGTATATTTGATAGGGAGTGTGCTTGAACTGTAATCTGTATTTTTGCATATAGTTGCAAAGGAATGAATTCTAATCTATTAATCTCTCCACCAAAAAAAAAAAAAAATATATATATATATATATAAAAAAATCAGGAATGGGAAGTAGGAGTTGGGAGAAGCTGCTGCAACCAAAACGTTTAGTCAGTAGTTACAGTGGAAATGAGCTATTTGGAGTTGTCAGCCTACATCCTCATGAACGACAAAAAATTTTCAGGCTTGGAGAGAAACTGATACCTTCCTGGTGCAGATTCCAGTCTAATAAATGAAAAGGTGAAAAAACAATTTTTGATGTAACAGATGATTTCAAGCCATCATAAAATAAATTGATGCAGAAAGATACTGAGCAGGATATGACTTTTTGGGTAGAACAACAAAGAATTCTGACTTGGGGTTCTGGAGGCATTTGAACATCCTTCTTCTGCAGCTGGAGTCACTAAAGCCTGAAGTGAAAACTGTAGGGTGATACGGGGTATGATTTTAAGGAAAGGGAGATGGGAGCCTCTTTGGTGCCTTCAGAAAAAGTCTGCATTTTGAGGAGGGAGATGAGGAAATCAGTGAAGGAAAAAAGATCAGATTATTCTGGGCATTGAATTTTGCTGTGCACTTGAAGAAGAGGGGGCAACTAGAGTGTGTGCTTCCTTGCTGCCTGGCATCACAGGCCTACATAGTTTCTGGCATTCTCTGTTAGAGAAGAGACTGCTGATGGATGGTAGATGCTGGTGCTTTGATCACTGACACTTCTCAAGGCATCCCACAAGTGCAAAGGAATATACTGTGGTGTGCAGAAATCTTGGTGCAGATCTATCAGTCTGTCTCTTAAACTTACTGCCATAATGTACTCACTCCAGGACTCCAGCTCACAGCAGAGATGTCACGCACAGGCTTGAAGCAATATCATCTTTCTGTATTTCTCAAATCTGGTGCAGCCAACAGAACCATTGTAAGATATTTGCACAAACCCCAGAGCCTACAGTTACCTCATATGTTTGAACTGAGGCACTGGGCTCAAATATGAATGTGAGGTCAGTTCACCGAGTACTTACCTCCAGACACTGTGTTAAACCAACTGAGTTAGGAGATAATTCTGGGAAAAACACAGGATTTGCTATCAAGAACATGAGCTACAGACTCCCTAGTCTGCAGCAGCGGAGAAAGTGTTTTATTCTTGCTGTGTACAGAAAGATTTCCTTGCTTATGAGTAGAAGTCTATTCCACCTTCGCCCCATCATCCTGGGGTCTCAGAGCACAGCTAGCAGTGCTGTAGTCAGTGACAACACAGCTGTGCTGTTACTGTGTGAGCCAAATGCTGAGGGACAGCATCCAAAGCGTCTACTGAAGAGCCTTATGGACTTAGGTCAGGATTTTCTGCGTCTTTGCTTTTTAATAAGTATGTCCCTTTGCCTGGCTTAAGTGGGCTTTCATGTAGAAAGAGGAGAAGCACAGTATGAACCTTTTCATTCCTTCTTGATTTTTGTGAGACAGTGCTGTTTAGCAAGAGTAACTTTGTAAGCTCTATAAGGGTTATAACACAGGAATCTTAATTCTGGATTTTAAAAGGATGTCTGCATATTTTATAACTTGTTTTTCCCTATTCATGCATCCAAATGGATGTTTTATATATCTCTGGACATCCCTTGTGCTCTTAGATGTAACAGCAGAGACATAGTTGAATACAGTTATCATAAAGATTTACTAATACTTAGATACAGAACTAATAGTCACTTACTCTGAACTGGTTTGCTGCAACAGTTCTATTACAAAACTCCACTAATGTAAAGTTAATACAATACAGAGTTGTCTTGCCATGAAGTGGTCTCTCAGGGAGGAGCAGTGGCAGGGAAAAGTGTGAGCTTAAGGGTCAAGGAACATGAAAATGAGGAATAGATAAGAAATTGTGTTGTTCTGATAAGTATCCCCAAATTAAACATATACTGGCTATATGTGTAATGAAGTGCTATGAAATGTCATTTTGTGCATAGCGGAAAGCCAGTAGTTGTGTGGAAAAGTAACCTGAACAGTATTTTTGCACTATTAACCTGTAACAACGTGTGTTACAAGTGTCCTTGCCAGGTCTACAGGCAATTCACTAATATGTGAGCAGACCACCACATGTAGCTATACCAATGCAAGCATTCACAATTTCTTGGAATTTTTGTATTGTTACTATTTATTTCTATGACTTAGGTGATGCCAGTTCATCATCTATTAGGGAGCTGGAGAGGGAACAATTTTAATCAGCAGCTCTTGATTTTGCACTTGCTCCTGAGCCCAACTTTAACATGTTTTTTCTAGGAGTTTAGGAGATTACCAGGCAACCTGAAAGACACCACTTTGCATTTCTTTGGTTTTTCACTGTCTTCAGCTTTACCAGCCCAGCTCTGCTCCTAGTTACCCGAGTTATCTTCAGGTTAAAGCTTATGTATACCTAGTATTGACAGAGTGAGTTATTTCTCCAAGTTGGTGGGTTGTGGCGTCAAATGTTAAGCTTGACAATATTTCTAGTCATGACCGATGGCAGCCGCCTGACTTTATTGTTCCTTTATGTATGTTCTGAAGTAAATAACATAACCTTTGCCTCTTCTTTCTTTAAACTTCAGGTTTAATCACACAATTTCTCTTGCCTGTAGTGGGTATCTTAGCTTGAAAGCTGTTACTGAAGTAATAATTAGATGATTAGATATAAGGAAGAAATTCTTTCCTGTGAGGGTGCTGAGGCACTCACTGGCACAGGGTGCCCAGAGAAGATGCCTGCCCCATCCCTGGCAGTGTTCAAGGCTGCGCTGGAGGGGGTTTTAAGCAACCTGCTCTAGTGGAAGGTGTCCCTGCTTGTGGCAGGGGTTTGGAGCTAGGTGAGTTTTAAGGGCCCTTCCAACCCAAACCAGTCTGGGATTCTATGATAATTTAGTTACATTTCAGCATGGCTTTTCTTGAGCTAAAGTACTTCCTCTGAGAGATATCTTGGTTGTTTTCATTGTTGTGCATATAGTTTTACCAATGTGCATTTTTCTTCCAAGAGATTGGTTATGCCGCTCTGCTCCCTGCACACATACGGTTTTCTGCCAAAACACTGACATGGGCAGAATTGGCTCTTGTAATGTTATATTTCCTTTCAAATAACTTTCATGTAATTACTACAAAAGTCAGTCATAAAAAGGAGAGTAGGAGGAAGTCAAGTGTCAGGAACCATTTTATTTCAATGACTGGAAGTAATTTTTAACTATACTTGTTTCACTAGTGAGTGCCAAAATGATACAAATTTTGACTGATGTCAGTGCACTCAATTTGTAAATGGGGTTTAGCAGAAATGTGCTAACTTTTTGTAGGAGAAAATGCTGAAAAGAAGGATTTTTTATTTTATTTTATTTTTTTTTTTAAAGAAACTATTGAAGTACTTGTACCTGGCGCTAAATTTTATGGTCCTCTTTCAGACAATCCTCTCACTTATTTCTGTCAGTTTTGTCTGTATATAGATCACACGGTTAAGTCAATTTCTGTTAACCCAGTTGTTTTCTTAGCCAGGAAGCTGTTTGCTTTTTAATGGATTGATGTTTATCTGCTGGAGGACTTTAAATATAATATTCCTACAGCTGTACATGGCTGCAAGGCATGCTGTTAATGCAGTTAAAGAAAAAAGAAAAAAAAGAAAAAAGACTACTTACAGAGATTGGAATAATTGCTGGTTATTCCAATATGGATGGAGCTTCCAGGGATGAGGGTAGATGGAGGAAAATAACTGAGGAGGGAAAAATCAAAGGAGAAAAAAAAGTTTCTTAATAGCAGTTTAGCAGTTCGGTTTTGTTTTGCAACCAGCTGTCAGTTGAAGAAACACTGTGGTGTTAATGGGCACCCACTCTTGGGAGCAGGCGTAGACATATCAGACTCGTGAGTATATACACAGATGTGGCTCAAATGGGGGTGAAAAACCCAAACAAGTTGTTGCTCTGTATTTCCACAAATCACTCCCATTCAGGAAACAATACTTAATGCCCCTCGGATTCAAACTTCCCTCTATACACACCAGTGTGTTACATAAATATGCTAATTATTGTTAAGTTATTCCCCGGCCTCTGAAACAGGCACCTACCATTGTAAAACAAAATAACTGTTTCCTAATTTAAGTACATCTTGAATACATTAGGAGGCTGTATGTGCCAAAGTGGGTTGAGAAAAAATTTATTCTAAAATTTGATACACATACTCCCCCTATGCATTTGAGCTTTAATATTTATAACTTGTGCTTCAAAGATTTATACTTCTTTGTTGCAGGCAACAAAACAAAACACACGAGTAAAAAGGTGTCCTCAACAACAAACCTGTTAGATTTCTTGCAAGAGGGGCTCGTTTGCTTCTACAGTTGCAATCTATAACACACAAGCTCCTGGCAGTCAGTCAGCCGTAGTACAGCCCCCGTACTGTGTTTACACCCAGCGCGCACGCTGCTCCCATGCCCCGTGCCACAGCGACAGCCGCGGCTCTTGCCCCCTGTAGCCCGCATCCCGCCGCTGCCCTGCCTCGGCGAGCCTCCCGAGCCCGGTGCTCCCGCCCCGCACGGCACTCCCGGCACGGCTCGGGGCTGCTCCCCCCTTCTCTCGGAAGGGGGTTTCCCGAGTACCGGAAAGTTTCCGTGGAGCCCTGCCCGGCTGCGGCCGAGCCCGCCCCCCGCCGCTGCTCGTCGCTCAGCGCGCCTTACCCCAGTGCACAGCGCGGACCGGTGCCTCCATGCAACTCCGCCGCGGCTGGCTGGCGGGTGCGGGCGCAGCCGGGAGATGCGACCCTTCGCCTCCTCCTGCGCGCAGGGCCGGAGTGGCAGCGGCGGCTGGACGGAGTTGAAGCCCATTAGCGGAGGGCGGGGGCAAACGGCTGACCCCCGCCCCATGGGGGCCGGCCCCTGCCCTGCCCTGCCCTGCCTTCCCCCGCGGCTGGCAGGGACCGAGCCGGGGGCGGTGGGGCGGGCGTAGGCCGAGGAGTGCCTCGCGGAGTGCTCGGAGCTGCGCGCATGTGTGTCCCTGGCCCGGGCCGGGGGGGACCGCTGAGCTCAGGGGGTCTGGGGGAACCCCGGCTCCGCTCCTTCCCCTCCCCTCCGCATTCCTGGGGAAAGGGAAGTGTTGGGGAGGTTGCGGATTTGCTGCTTAGATGAGGAGCCGTAGGCGGATAACGGCGCTGGAAAGCCGAGTCCGGACCAGCATTTTTTTCTGAAGGGGCGGGTACTGCCTGGGAATAAACCCGAGGGGATGGACCGGATTAGAGGGAATAATTCGTGGTGTCTGGATGGGGGCCAGGACAAGAGTGTAGTCCAAGTGAGAGCTAAAATCATTTTACAATAGCAAGATTTACTTGTTACCAGGGGTGCTGGCAACGTATTTCACTGTGAATGACAAATGCCCTAGTGCTAGAGACAGTGAAAATGGGGTTGCGGTAGGTACTAAAGTATATGAGCTTTCATAATTGGTTGTTTGCCTCTAAGAAAATCATATCGTTAGCTGCCTAGGCAGACAGTGCAAGAAAAAAAGGTCTTTTTGGTTTTGCATGTCCTGTCAACAGCTTGAACTTTTTTAGGAACCAAGTTACATCGGCAGTTTGTTTCTCTTGTGCATCTGTTAGCCCCTGAAGGCACTTGCAGAGTGGTCCTACTGATACTGTGAGTGAGAGAAATGGAAATGGATGCTCACGAGTATGTAGGCTGCCTTCTTTCCTTCCCTGCCCCTTGGTGGCTCTGTAGCCTTGAGAGCAAGTTCTCTCATACTGAGGCAATTTTGCTGTCAGTATGTAGGCTGTTTAATTTCTTCTTGGTTCAGCAGTGATAGGTTCAAAGTTGTGATGAAGTTTGGGGTGGATGGAAAGCTTGTGGACTCTGCTTTTTCTGTAAAGTTTTTGTCACTGATGAGCTCCCCCCCCCCCCCCCTTTCCCTTTCTTCTTTTTAATTCCAGGCAAGCAGCAAGTGAGTTGAAATGAACGTTTACTGGAAGTTCACAAGTGTGTTTCACTGTGGCTCAAGGTTACCTGTACCTTTTGCCAAAACTATAGTGGCTTGGTTCTTAATTAACACATGACTATCCTAGGGTCCCTCAAAATGCTGCTGCAAAAGTTATCTTGTGATTACTTACTTCAGCCCCTTAAAATACTTGATTCCTTGAAAGATGACTTCTCTATAATTTCAGTAAATGGAAACAGTATAGCTTCGTTTTAGGCTTCCTTGTTTAGTTACAGCGTGAAGGTGTGAATTTATGTATGCATCAGAAAAGCTGATTTTCTGTGTGTTGTTTTTTTGGATCTGCATCCCCTTGGCCTCATTCTGCAGGTGAAGAGTCATATATGCATGTAACACTGTACTTAAGGTTATAAAAATATTATTTCCCATTTAAATTTCAGGATTTCCAATGATTAGCTCTTCATCAAGGTTTGGTAATGATGTCTTTCCCAAAGAGCACCTTACATTTAGCCAGAGTGTCAGTAAATCAGCTTTAACCCTGACAGACTAGGAGACTTACATTTGACTGCAAAATCTATGCTTAGACAATTACATAATCTGGCCAAGTTTGGGAAATGCAGAAACTTTAATGACTTCCTTGGAATACAGGGGGATTGCTCAGTGTTTGGCAATTGTGAAAAACATTCCTGCCTCTGCCTGGCTTTAGACCTCTTTCTGTGACAGTCTTGTCCCATGCCTCCAGCAGCAGTTGCAAATACTTCTGGAGTGGTGGACAGCTATTTCTGTACAACACGTGGTCCACCAAAACCTACAGAAACATCACTATAGTGAACAGTCACTTCCCTGGTACTTCCCGGTGCTCAGCAGGGTCATCTTGAATCTACTGAAATGCTGGAGGTCTTGCTCACCCTCCCCATTTCCAAATGTGCATCACATGTGGGTGGAGATGGGGCTGGGATTTACTCCTTTATCCTGTGTGGTTTTCAGCTTTTAGGGATTCCTGGTTTCTCATTCAGTTGTGCACTTCAATGCAACCTGGATGCATTGTGGAATTCAGAAACAGACTCATTTGCACATTTAATGCAGTATCCCAGCAACTATGTATTGTATCAAGGTGATATTATGGGTAGTTTACATTGTTACTTGGTTCTTTTTGTTGCATCTACTTTTCTAGAAAAGTAGGTCTGTATTACAGAAATTTCCCTCAGATAAATGATTTGATACATAGGGGTTTGTTTATGGACTGTATTTGAGAGAGCCAGAACAAAGATAAGCAATACTCAGAATTTCTGCTGCTCACAACTATTTACATTGGTTAGCTTGTCTTTTCTTGTGCCATCATGAAACCAGGAGGGCCAAAGTAGAGTCAATCTCCAGTGGTTATGGATGGAACTGTACAAAGTCACTGACCTTGGTGGGTATTTCCAAATTTATAGATGAGGGAAAATCAGTGAAAAACCCTTGCTGAAGACAGTTTTATTCTTGGATGATTTTATATTTTCTTCAATCTAGGGACTTCATTATAAAACTGTACCACTAGTGCAGGCTGCTCCAGAGACAGCCCTCAGCTCAGCTCACTGTCTCCTGTGGTTTGACTGAGATTCTTGGAACTCAGTGGTGATGCTGAGGTGTGGTAGCTGCTGTGCTGCCTACATGGACTTCTTGTGACAATTTTTGTAAGGCAAAATAACTTTTATTGCTATAATGAGATCTCTTTTTGACTGAGTTGTTTGGTTTTTTTTGTATTAGCAACCAGACATTTGGGGGATGCTCTTTATCTTTTTTAATTTTTTTAGGGAAGAGGTGCTGGTGAAATAACTGTCAGTTTCATTAAACAATTACTTTTAGATAAAATGCCCCAGGATAAGTAAAATTGATTAACTGTTGTTTATAGGAACAGGAAAGTATTTTCTGTGTAGAAATTTGATAGGAGGCATCTCCTGTTTTCACAGCTCACCAGGTTCTGAAATGTAATAAAAAGAATCCTTTGAAGAAAAAATTTTTGAATTATTGCCTTTTGGAAAAAAAGAAATGTTCATTCTGCTTTCTAAGAAATGTACTTAAAATAAGAAGGTAATTTCTGCATGGAGAGTCTTCATGCCTAACTTTTATTTTCAACTTAATTTTTGTGAAAAGCTTCAAATTTTTTGAAAGTATTTTTCAGATATTTTTAACATCCCTTTCCATTAAGGAATGGAGCAGCAGTAAAAATGTGCCATTTGTAGGCATAAATTTGTGTACTAATTATTTTTTCCCTTCTTCGTTTCCATCATTCAATAAAGACCTTTTCCACTGATCTCAGGGAGCTGTGGAACAGCGTAGGTTGTATGGGTCTTCTGGAGTTCACCTTGTTCATCCTCTGACTAGATGCAGATCCAGTTAGAGGAGATTGCCAGAGCCTTGTCCAGCTGAATTTTTTTAATGGAAAGGATGCAATTTCAAAAATACAAAGTTACAGTGTTATGTTTTTCAGCTAGAATTTATAAAACAGGTAAATTTATTGTGAAAAATATTTTCTAGAGGTTTAAATCACGTGATTCAGTTCTTTAGCACAAAATCTTTCAAGAGGCAAAATAATTTAAAATTCTTAGTAGAGATGCAATATATCAATAACAAAGATTTTACAAGCAGCACCAATGCCCAAAGGAAGAATTCATATTCCTTTACATGCCATGTAAAGAAATGAGATCTAGAATGAAGAGCCTCTTCATTCTGCTTCTATAGTTGCTATGTCAAGAAAGTGTTCTGTAGGAATTTTATGTCATGCCCAAATTCTCAGGGTCTATTTTACTGATTTTTAAAGCTACCAACTGTCTTTTTCTTTGGAACAAAAGATGCTCTTAGGCTTTGGGATGGGACCAGATATAATGTCTCATTTATTCACCTGCTTGCAGACTTTTGAGGAAGATGGTGAATATGTATGTACATGCTAGGAAATTGTTGGGTCCAAGGTTGTTATTGAAAGCCAATAATATTTCCCCTACCTGTCAGTCTGTGATTTCAATCTTCCTGGTGCCTACTGAGTTACTGTTTAAGGATGTCAAATGGAAAATTTGATCTCAGTGTTCTTTTCCCTCTCACTCTGTGACTCCATAATTGAATTTATAGTTAATTATGCAATTTATTTTGTGTTGACCTTTCAAGGACCTTAGAGCATCTGACGGTGAATGCAGAGTCTCCGTGTTGATTTCCAGGAGTACTTGTATCAACTTATCAAAAATTCTAATGGTACTTTTGGAATTAAAGATGGCCAGTGTATTACCAAGAAATAATAACATTTGTATTCCTGGAGATACATAATTATAAATGTACACAAATACATAAAAATAAATACTGAATTATGTCATACACAGTATTTCAAATAGGGTAACACCACTACCACCAGCAATAATAGTAATTCTGCATGTCAGAATATTACAAAACATTTTAGATGCTGTAGGTCCACTCTTTGATATAGGTGTTGCACTCGGTTCTTAAAGTCCTGCGTTTGGATGATTGGATCCACTTGTTGTCCCATAAAACTGATACCTGCTCCTAAGGTGAGGGTTGTCCATGGTCTTAGGTGGAGCCAAGCCTGAAAGCTGTGTCCTTGATGCAGAGGCCACACCCTGTACAGGCAGAACTTAGTGAAAGTGCAGAGTGGGGCTTGTGTGTGTCATGTCATGGGGAAGGAGAAAAGGGAAATCAAAGGAAACTTCATGCTACAGACTAGTTTCTTGACTATTTAAAAGATTGTTCATGAATGTAATGCCAGTGGAGGTTAGGAGGTTTGTGATTTATTTTTTAAAGAAGGACACTAAAGTATTTGTCATTTATTATCAGTAATCTTTTAAAATGAGGCTTTTGATAGACAGCTGTCAGGTGAAAAAGGCATAG